ACCACGGCCATGTCTGCAGGGAGAACAACAAGCATCGCTGCTGCCAGCACCACAGCCACCACAACAGGAAGAACAATGGCTGTCACTGCAGGCAGGACCACGGCCACCACCGCGAACAATGGCCATCACTGCAGAGGACACCATAGCCATCACTGCAGACAGCACCACGGACATCACTGCGGGGCTCACCACGGCTATCACTGCAGGCAGAACCACGGCCAGTGCTGCACGGAGCACCCCGGCAATCACAGCTGGCAGCACCACAGCCAACTCTGCAGAGAGCATCATGGCCGTCCCCCATGGCAATCACTACAGGCAGAACCATGACCAATACTACAGACAACACCAGAGCCATCACTGCAGGCAACACCATGTCCATCGTTGCAGGGAGCACCACGGCCATCACTGCAGGGACCACCATGGCCATCGCTACAGACAGCACCACAGCCATCACTTCTGGAAGCACCACAGCCATCACTGCAGAGGACACCATGGCCGGTACTGCAGACAGCACCATGTCCATCGCTGCAGGGACCACCATGGCTATCTCTGCAGGGAGAGCAACGACCACCACTGCAGGCAGCACCACGGCCACCACTGCAGGAAGAACAATGGCCATCACTGATGAGGACACCATGGCCATTCCTGCAGGGACCACAACGGCCATTGCTGCATGGAGCACCATGGCCAACAATGCAGAGGACACAATGGCCATCACTGCAGGGAGCACCACGGCTATCTCTGCAGGGAGAACAACGGCCACCACTGCAGGCAGCACCACGACCACCGCTGCAGGAAGAACAATGGCTATCACTGCAGGCAGAGCTGCAACCATCACTGCAGGGAGAACAATGCCCATCAAGGCAGATGACACCATGGCCATTGCTGCAGACAGCACTACGACTATCACTACAGGCAGAACCACGGCCATTGCTACACAGAGCACAAAGGAAATCACTGCTGGAAGCACCACGGCCAGCTCTGTAGAGAGCACCACGGCCATCAGTGCAGAGGACACCATGACCATCACTGCAGAGGACACCATGGCTATTGCTGCTCGGAGCACCACAGCCATCACTTCTGGCAGCACCACAACTATCACTGCGGAGGACACCGTGGCCATTGCTGCAGAGAGCACTGCGGCTGTCACTGCAGGGAGCACCACGGCCATCACTGCAGAGGACACCACAGCCGTCGCTGCGGAGGACACCAGCGCTGTTGCTGTCAGTAGCACCACTGCAATTGCTGCAGGGAGCACCATAGCCGTCACTGCAGGGACAACAACGACCTTCACTGCTGGGGGCATCACGGCAATCACTGCTGACAGGACTACGGCCGTCACTGCATGGAGCACCATGGCCATCCCTGCAGGGAGCACCACAGCCATCGCTGCTGGCAGCACCACGGGAGTCACCATGGCAGTTGCACCCGCAGCTCCAGTCAGCCCATCCAAGGGGCTGAGAGTTCTCCTGGCCCCAGGCACCCCGGCACTGGGGAGACCACTAGCCACTACCAGCCCTACCACCGCCCTGGGTCCTGCCTTTGGCACACAGAACGCACTGGCCACAGCACCAAGCACATCTGGTCACAGCATCACTGGTCACAGAAATCCTGCCCCTGAGACTCAACCCACCCATGACCATATCAGTAAGTACATTTTCTTCTTCCCAAGCCAAAGAGAGGGAGAGGTTGTCAGCAGACCCAGCACCGTGATGGCCGAGGCTGTGGCCCAGCCCAGGGTGACTCGTCTGCATTGCATGTTGGGCTGCCAGTTTCATGGGGAAAGGTGAAAGACGACATCTGACAGCATCCTGTTCCAAGTTAAAAACTGGGTTAAAAATTGGGTTGCAAGGTGTCAGAGCACTGCTCCGGCCTGGGAGAGCACAGGCATAGCATCCTGGCAGCAAGCAGGCGAGTTTGCCCTGGCCACAGGAAGTATGGAGCAGATATTAATACTTTTTTAACCTTTTTGATTTATCTATCTCCTGCACATGTCAGTGCCAGCAGCCTCTCTCTACCCCTTCGGCATGGAGGGAGGGGACAGAGAGTGCGTCCAGAGGATGGTGGATTTTAACTCCTCCCTATTCAAGCCAGAGATTGGATTCCCCTTTGGGAAGTCGCTGCGAGATGCTCTCTACGTGAGTTCCCCCCCTCGCCGAGCACGTAAGAGATTTGCAATCTCTTTCTTGAAAAACCCCCACGAAGATGGGGCAGAAACCGAGTTTCATCTGAATGTTCATGTTCTGCAATTTAAAATGGCTGGTTTCTGTTCACCCATGGAGGATAAAAGCCATCCCAGGCATCACCTGGGATGTCAGCAAATAACAAGCTATTTTGGTTAGTTTACAGATAATGGACAGATCATTTTCCCACCTACGGACAACTACATCCCCTCCAACCCCAACCCGCCTCTCCAGGGCTTCAGTGGCCTGGAGGATTTGCCGATGGTGGCTGCCTTTTGGGACGACGCAGATTTCTCCCAGGGTGTCGGCACAACCTGGTACCAGGTTGGGTCCACCAGGGATGTTCTCCTGGGAGACCCCAGCTCCCAGCTCGTAGCTTTAACCCTCTCTCTTGCCAACCACAGGAGTACTCCACCATCAGCTCTACCCAAGAGCCCCTTGTCCGCGATGTGGAAACAAAGATTGAGAAATACCTGAAAACCCCCTACGTAGCAAGATGGACCTTGAAGGTGACATGGGAGAAGGCTCCAGCATACCCATCCCAGCTGGATGACACTCAGGTGAGCAGTGGGGGACCCAGGTGATGGAGGGGACTGTCACCAGTGATGGCCGGTGCAGGGTTGGGCTGCTGGTCTGTCACAGCTTGATGCAGGTGCTTTGGGCCTCGTCACCTCAGTCTGCACGGAGGGGAGAGCAGGGGAGGCTTTCGGGGTGCTAAGGGGGTGCCTTGGGTTTCTCCAGACGAGCACCTACCAGGTCATCCTCACCACTGATGGGAACCGCTCCTTCGCCCTGCTGCTCTACCAGGACGGCGGGATGCGGTGGGACTACACCAAGCTGGCTGCGAGCAACGTGCTGATCGGCTTCTCCAGGTATGGGGCACATGTGTAGCTGTGTTTTGGGACAGCAGGGATTTCTCCAGCACTGGGTTGGGACCATCAGAGATGATATCCCCAGGAGACCCCAGCTCCCACCCCCAGAGAAACCCTGTCCCATTTAAACCCTCTCTCCTGCAAACTGCAACAGCCCCCACCCCAGTTCCTCTGTGGGGAGTGGAGGAGCATTGCATCGAAATGGTGACCCCAAACCTCCTCTCTCCACACAGCGGTGATGGTTATGCCCAGAATAACGAGCTGACTCAAAAGCCACCGGCTGTCAAGTACCGACCCGACCAGCACAGCAGCACTGGCACTGGTATGGCACTGGGGAGTCCTTGGGTGGGCTGGGGATGGAGGGAGCCGTGTGCTCCGCACCGGGAACATGTCTCCAGCACACGTCCCTGTGAGGTGTTGAGCCAGCAAAGCCACCAGGCAAGGTCTGGCCACCGAGAGCAGAGTGAGGGTGTCCTGCTGTGGCTTGCCACGGCCACGCTGGCTCTAGAGGGAGCCTGGAGACCTCGTGTGAGGTCAATGGCCGGGGACGGTTGTCCCACGGGACCGTCCTCAGCACAGGGTGAGACCCCAGCTGAGCGGTGCTGCTCTCCGGTTGCTCCCCCAGATGTGCGCGGGCTGTGGATATACAGGCTGGACAGTCGCTCCCGGGTGAACTACAGGCTGCGGTGCCTGGCGTGGCTGGACACGCAGCCGGCGCCGGCCGCCTGGAACAAAAAAATCTCCTCCCGCTCTGGGGGTGTCTGTGATCGCCTGCACCGTTTCAGGGCCAGTGGACGACTCTGTGAGGATGCTGCGCACCGCGTCCCCCAGCCCAGCTGGAGCCGGGGTGCGGTGTCTGTACCGAGACGGGAGCTTGCTGGTGGGCTGGCAGGAGAGAGCATGGACCCTCCCCATCAGCCCCACCACCGGTAAGTGGGCACCAGTGCTCCCTCGCCCTAAAACACCCCAGGAACTGAGCATTCTGCTGATGCAGTGGGGACCCCAACACCCCCCCATCACCCGGCTGCCCTCCTCCGCAGACTGGGAGCTGGAGGCATTCGACTGGTGCTGCCAGCGCGTGGGGAAGCCCCTGTTCTGCACGAGGTTTGCTGAGAAGAGACCAAGGGTTGGCTGCGAGGGATACGTGCCACCCACCCCCGGTGAGTCCCCAGGGCTCTGCCTGCTCTGTGCCAGGGTACTGAGTGGGTGCCATGGCCATATGCCGATCCTGTGCGTTACCCACTCTTCGCGGCGTCCTGGTGGGGAATGCTGAGCCCAGCCCAGCACTGGAAGCTGCTCTCCTCTGTGCCATGACACCAGTATTTGCTTTTCTTCCTCCCTCAAAATGTCTCTATCTCCTTTGGCCCCCAGCCGGCGCCTTTGGGGACCCCCACATCACCACCCTGGATGGACTCACCTACACATTCAATGGGCTCGGGGACTTCGTCCTGCTCCTGGCCAGCAATGCCCGCACCAGCTTCGAGCTGCAAGGGCGCACAGCCCAGACTGGCACAGCCCAGGCCACCAACTTCATCGCCTTCGCTGCCCGGTACACCTCTGCCACCAGCACGACCGTGAGTAGGAGCAACCCAGGTATCGGTTTGAGCATCTAATGGGACAGAACCCCATGGCAGGTTGGGCTTCACCTCTGCATCAGTTATAAGTGGCAGGGACCTGAGGAGCATGCCCTCTCCTCTCTTTGCCACCTCCCACAACCTCAAAGAAGTGTTAATAGCAGTGGGCTGAACCAAGACTAATGAGCCACAGCTCTGACACCTCTTGCAAGCTGGCCAGCAAGAGCCTGGAGCTCTGCAGGAACACCGTCTGCTCCACCCTCTTCATTGCACACCCTTCACCCTGGCCACCAGTCTCCTTCACACACATTAGCACAAGCGCGTACTCTTCCTTGCTTTGCAGAATTGCCCCCCACGCCAGTTTCAGTAAGTAAAATCTCCTGGTGTCACCAGAAGCAGCCACTGAGCAGCGTGAGGAGGGGGCTCAGAGCCTGGAGCCCACCAGCACAGCTCTCCATGCTGCCATGATCAGCAGAGCAGCAGCGGTGGCCTGTGCGTGCCCCATGCCAGCAGTGATAGGGGCAGCCTGCTGTCATCTTCTGTGCAACCATCAAAGCTGCATTGTCGTCTGTCTGTTGGGGCGAAGAGCACATCAGCATGGCCCTCAGGGCTGAGCCTCTCTGCCAGGGCTGGAGGAGAACGGGGTTTATCTCATGTGTCCCTGGCATGGGGGGACAGCAGGAAGGGATGAGTAGAGGGGCTGACTGGGACATCTGTCGTGATTTGCAGGTTGAGTGGACCTTGGGGAGCCAAGGTGACATGCAAGTCCTCCTGAATGGCAAAAACATCCAGTTTTCCTATTCCCAAGGTGAGCAGGATGTGCTGTTAAATGTTCAATATATCTGGGGAGGACGAGGGGTATCCCCACACCACGGGGACCAGTGCTGCCCAGCGCAAGGGCAGCCATCCTGAACTCCACCAAACATCTCCCACATGTGCCATCTCTGACTCGGGCAGGGTGGATGGGGAGCGCCTCCCTCCCCAGATTCAGGGGCATCGTTCCAGACCCCAGCCTTGTGTGGTCTCTCCATCTGTGCTCTCCTTCACTTGCAGACATGGCTGCCGAGGTGTACTACAGCCCCGGCATCCTGCTGGTCAACGCCTCCTCCATCACGGCCATCTTCGATGGGGCCATCGCTGTCTCCATCTCTGCCACCTCCGGAATCCTCAGCGTGGTCTGCAGCATGCCTGATCAGTACCGCAACAGCACCAAGGGCCTTCTGGGTGAGGACTTCCAGCACTGCTGCAGAGATGGGGTGCAAAGTCCCTTTCCCACCACAAAGAAGCCTGGCAAACAGTGGGGGAATGTGCTTGCAAGGGCAGGGACCTCTGGGTCTAAACCAAATGCCGACCAGCACCAGACAGAGGGTCAACTCTGACATGGGGAACTCAAATCCTCTGGTGATGCTCCACCAGGTGTGTGGGACCATGACCCCGCAGATGACTTCCAGATGCCAAACGGTACCAACATCTCCGTGAACAGCAGCGAGGAGGAGATCTACAGCTACGGGATGACCTGTAAGTCCAGGCTCAGGTTCATCACTGGTGAACTCTCTTTCCTGCTCCTTCTGGCCATGCTTTGCCTGGAGAGACTTAGACGCTTGCCTGAGCACAAGTGGTGCCAGGGAAGCCCTTTGGTCTCCTCACTGCTCTGTGGAAATAGCTCCTGAAATACAACAAGCCTTGAAAAACTCAAGGCCATACCTATGGTGTCTCTCTTGCAGGGGCTGTTGGAAAGCACGGCCTGTTTGCTCAGCCTCTGGACTCACCGGTAATGAACTTCACACCCATCTTCTTGTCTTGGCTGCGGCAGGTGAATGAAAGCCAGTACCAGCTGGCAGCCTCCCAGTGCCGCGGCAGCAAGGAGTGCATCTACGATGCACTGAGCACAGGGGATGTGGCCCTGGGCCTGGCCACCCAGAGCCTCGCAGCTGACTTCCAGCAGAAGAAGACAGTACTCAGTAAGTGGAGCAGATCCTCTCCTCTGAGAGGCCATGGCATGGATAACAGGGAAGTATCTGGCTCCATCCCTGGGCTATCTTCTCCATGTGAGGCAGGAGAGAAGTCACCAAGGTCTTGGAGTTGCATTGCCTGGCTGGCTGGTCTCCAAGCCTGGGAGATGCCACCAGCAGGACAGATGCCACCAAGGTCTCTGAGTTGTGTTGCCTGGCTGACTGGTGTCCAAGCCTGAGAGCTGCCACATGCTGTGCAACAGGAGGGCCTTGTCGGTGGGCGGTCATGGCAGCATCTGCCTGGGGTCCCATCCTCACCAGGAGGGACTCAGAGCCAAGGATTGCCAAGGCCACGTAGCAAACACCCGGTTGTGTGCTGGGCTGCTCTTTCCTCAGATGCCTTTCCTCCCGTCATCACCGGTGACGCATCACTCACAGCCTTCAGGACAGAAAGGGTCAGGAGGCAGTACCATGCCGTGGGAGCGGGTGCACACTTTGTTCCCCACCTCTCCGCAGAGCTCAACATATCGGGTAGGGAAGGAGAGATGGGACAGCTGGGGCTAGATGGAGGGACACTGGCCACTCAACCCTTTTCCTCTGCCACCTCCTTTAACTCTGACATCTCCCCTCGGCAGAGAGCGGCGCCCTGACATGGGAACCCCTTGGGACGGCCCCGTTCACCGTCAACCTGGAGGCTGTTGGGTCTAACAACCTCTCTGCCCTCCTCCAGCTCCGCTTCACCCTTTGCAGCTGCAGCAGGAGCCAGGAGTGTGACTACAGCGATGCTGTCACCCTCGGGAGGTCCTCCCTGCAGGTAGCATGCTGGAAAGTTGCTCCGGTGCCACACCATGCTCGCCCCCATGCCAGCTGTGCCGGCTGTCTTCTCTGTCCACCCATCCTCCTCATCTACCCTAAACCGGTGTCACCGTCCCCTTCCCAGCTGGCAGCCTGCAGGTGTGACGGCGGCTACTCAGGTCCTTTCTGCCAGGACCCTCCGGACCCCTGCGCCCAGGGATGCTTTCCTGGTGTGGACTGTGACTCGGATACTGGCTGCGGCCCCTGCCCAGCTGGCCTGATCGGTGATGGGCAGCACTGCTCAGGTGATGCGGGCTTGGTGTGGCCTCCAGGAACCTGGGGTGCTCATGGGACCCCGGCTGAGGTATTTGTCCCGGTGCCATGCTGCACTGCCTCAACAGATATTGACGAGTGTGCACAGGGGACAGTGTGCCCAGGGAACGCCACCTGCACCAACACCGTGGGCAGCTACATCTGCTCCTGCCCAGTCGGCGAGAAGGGTGAGTACGGGCACCCCAGAACGCATAGTCCTTAGTGAGCGTGGCCATTGTCTCCATCACCCCCTGGGCCTTGGTGGGAGAGGGCTCCTGTGGGGCCCAAACTGACCAGAGAGAGGACGAGGGGGAGCTGACTGAGCTCCGTACCCAAGCACTCGCTGGGCTTAACAGAAGGGACCAGAGTCCAGCCACCCCTCGTGCTTCCAGGCTGCAGATCTCACTAATCCGCCAGGAAGGGAAACTTTTCCCGTGCAATTTTTCCTCCTTGAGAGAAAAAAAATCTCATCCCAACAAAGCTCAAATGCCCCTGCAGAGGTTAGAGGGTTAAAATCAGATCCTGTTTTCAGGTGGTTTTGAGGGGTTGGAGTGACAGTTTTTGCTCCTGTTCTGATGCAGCAGGCTGGAATTTCACGGGAGCAGAAAGCTCCAGCAGGGCTTTTCCTTGAGGATCTGAATTTATACTAAAAGTCCTAAGGCTTAAAAAAGAAACCCCAAACCTGGAAGAAATGTGTTATGGTCCGAGGAGCGGTTGGGGATGGATCAGTGCCCGGGGGCTCTGCCTCTGCAGCCTGACTTGGGCTCCCCATCCCACAGGCGAGGGGCTGGGCTGCGGCTCAGCCTGCG